TAAATGAGCAAATTGGTATTACCTAAGAATTAATTAATTTAGCTGGTCTTAATTTAATCGCTTTGGATACATTTACACATCAACAATATAGAAAACATGTAACATCTTTGGTACCTACATATTTACAAGTTAAAATAGAAAAATAATTTGTAATAATACCTAACTTGAATTGTTTTAAAAACAACACTTTACTGCATAGGATTTCAGCATCACAGTATTTATGATAATTAAAGCAATGTTTCTCTGTTGTTTTTACTTGTTCATTGTTTACCAACATTTATGAAGTTATTACAAACAATGAAAGCTTTTTATACCATTTCATAAATATTCTACAAATAAATACCACCCAACGATAAGAAAAACAATTTTTTCAAACAGTATACTTAACAAATTTAATCAATCAACTCCCTTAAAACCTTAAATTGCCTGTTTAAAAATACAACTTCAAATTTCCTAAATAATTAAAACTTTTTGGTAAAAAAATTATTTCCTACGACTCGTAAAACCCTGTATATCTGTTTTAAAAACTTTTCATTGTTTTTAAGACTTAAATCCCAGTAGAAAAATTAATTTCCCATGCATAGTTTTAAAATCAAAAGAAAAAGATTTATTTTATATTTCCTATAAAGTGCTTTTTTCTGTTGTACTCAATCATTTGATATGATTTGTTTATTATTTGTATAAAAAAAATATTTACAAAATTCATCTTGTCAGTAGCTAATTGGTAGCTAATTTGGACAGGTGTAAATTTAGTTTAGATAAAATTGATTTAAAAGTGTATAAAATCGAGTTGAATAAAAATTATATTAAATTAATAATTAAATAATAATATACCAAACATTTGTGTTTGCATACTATGAGATCTCATCTCACTTTTTACGTGTTTACAAATTTATTAAAAAATTGTTACAATTAAGCTAAAGGTTATGTATTATTCTATATACAAAAATTTAATAATTATCTTAACAAAACCCCCATAGTCCATCCACTTTACGATAAACATTACAGTCTTCATTACAAAACGCGGCAGTGCAATTTTAAAAATGAATTTAGTTTGCTACAAAATTTACCAACCAATCGTATAAAAATTATTATAGAAAAAAAAGTATGCTTTTTTCTAATCAGTATTCCTTTAAAAAAATCATCAAAATTGCAATATAAATAATAAAATACGGATCCGATCTATTCATCAGCTAAAATAAGGTATCTACTTAAGAGATACTTTTGATTTTGAGATATATCATAATATATGATTCAGGGACTGATTATGTGATTATAAATAATTTTATTAATTTAAATCTTAAAATTCATATATAATCAAAATTGCAATATTTACCCTAGTAATGGATAAATAATATACATTTTGATGAATTTTCTAAGAAATATAAATTAAACAGTGTTAACTACAAGCACAAACCAATGTCTTAGTAAAATTTTAAATGGAACCATTAGGGAATAATGACATTAATTTAAGTAATTGCAGAAACCATCACATGGTTTACAATAAGAAATTCATCAAGTAGAAAGATAGCAAAATTTCTTAAAACAGATGCGGACCATGTTGATAGTTGAAAGAAGGTAATATGAATTTAGGTGTGTAAGCATTTCTTGCAGGATACAAGGTAGTCAGGTACTTGGAGCTAAGTGGTCAATACTATAAGCGATTTTTTTCATCTGTCCAGCAATGGTTTTCATAAAATTGGTTAAAAGTCAATTCAATTACATCACCAAAAACGAGATAAATAGAAAATAAGCGCAAAAATCGCAACAATTGACAGAAAGATGTAATATTAATGACTTTTAACAAATTTGAAGGCAGGTCATTAATAGTCTTTTTTACACTGTCTTACCAGTTCATACATAAACATTGATTCCATTGCTATAAATGCAACAAAAGTTTATGAGTATAGAAAGGGTAACAACCAGTTCATAAATTTGTGAAAATCCCTCTGAAAAATTGTTAAATATTCAGGGTGTAACATTTCAATATCAAATATTTTTAAAAGTGAAAAATTAAATTGCTCCCGGGTTATCTGGTCTGAAATAAAAAAACTTGTTTAGTCTTCATCTAGAAGATATCTGTAACAAATAACTCTGAAAGAGTACTACATTAGTATTTATAGTTTACCGTCTAGAGCGTCCTGTAGAACGACATGTCTTGTAGTTGAAGACCAGGCTCTCATGTTTTACATTGATTTCATTTCGCGAGCGCTATGGGTCGAACGGATGATAGTATTGACATTACACCTGAATATATACACTTTACAATAGTATTTTGTTCGTGTCTACCAGAAATTTAGCCTAGTTCATGTTGCCCAAAGAGTGTATTTTTAATTGAAATACCGTATGACTGAGAGTCTTGAAGTTTGTGGGTATACTTAAATAAATGCTGATGAACATATCCAAATTTTAATCGAATCGTATACTATTTCGCTTGCATAATAATCATTCCAATAGTGTTTTTTTTTTAAATAAATTTTAAAAGGCCAGATGGAAAACCTATATAACAATATAGGCGAAATTTTAATGAAATTTACAAATATCAGCCGATTTTGGCGCTCGGCATTCTTTTAATAGTTAAGCTGTCGACTCTAACAAAAAACTATTGTAAATAAGTGTATTTATTCAGATATAATGCAGTTTTTCAGGACGTTGTAGACCTAGAGAGTAAACTATAAGGGGGGGTTAGTACTCTCACAGGGTTTTTTTGTAATAAATATCCTCTAGATAAAGACTAGACAAGAATTTTTCCTTTCAAACTAGTCGTTTGCACAGCGTTTTCAAAAAATATAATTTTTAGCTTTATTCTAATTTTTCACAAGTAACCCCTGTCCTGGGCGCTTCATTGTTTGGGCTATAACGTATTTAACAATTTATTTTCAAGATAAGATATATGTATAAGTTATGAATTACTTACTATAATCAAAAAAATCCTGAACGATCTCCATAACGAAAATGAAAATATAAGTTAACATGGAACTAGTCATAACCCAAAAATAGGCAACATTGGTTAATGTGAGCCTTGATGACCAATTCGGTGATAAAAAAGCGTAATCAATTGCATTACAAGAAACACAAGTAATACTATAAAGCTATTTCATCGGTGTCGTAGGCATAGACTATTTATTAATTAGAATATTCAATATTTTAATCATAGTCTATAGATATGTCGCTTACCTGCTTTGAAAATTGTATTTCTTTTTCTAACCCGAGAAGCCGATCATAAAACTGACGGCTTAACTGGTATATAGTTTGAAATGCAATGTTGAATTATTTTTCATTTAAGTAATGTTACATCCTGTATATTAAATTTGTAAATTTTGAAAGTTCTACTGTCTTACATGTTCAGAGATAGATAGACCAGCATTTATAAACTCAAATTTCTAACGTTGCATTTGATCCATTTCATATAATCTTAAATTTATGTCATATACAAGGTGTTTGGAATAATGATGGGAAGAAGTATATTTGTCTAATAAATTATATAAAAAAATTATTTTAATTTCCTTGGTCATACATTATAAAACAAGACTTAACTAATGGCCTGCTCTGTATATTTGCAATTAGACTAGTATTTACAATACCCTGAAATGTACGCGCTACAAAATATTATTTAACTATTATCTTTTTTTTCTAGTGTAGCGCGCTGTCTAAATTAAACCCGAAAACCAATGCTGTAACAGTAAAAATATTCTCGCTACCACCAGGCGCCATTCAAAAAGATATTTTGGTTACAATGTAGTAAAATGAGATTGTGAATGTCCAAAGGTCCATACCCCTAAGCTTCTTCAACAGAAATCAAAATGTAAAGTGTAATCCTATCTTCCAATCTTATTTTAAAAATTGTGGTATTTGCGATATTTGAATAAAAAAACAAACTCCTCAAAAATTAATTAACTTTGGTTTTGCTACTGAACACATAAGATTCAGGTTAATTGGTTGTTTTTTAATGAAATACAAACCAAATCATAATTAATAATATTAATAATTAAAATAATAATATAATAAATAATAATTAACTTTAATTTAAATTCAAAAAGGACAGGTAAGTTAGAATTTTGTCTTCTACATTAAACATTAAAATAAAATTGTAAGAAAAGTCAAATTAGCTTATCGATTGGTATATATTTTGGTATATATTTAAAATCAATGTTAAATATATTTTGTAGAATAACTTTACATTTGGTTTTTAGCAATATACTATTTAGTGACTAGTATATATAAATATACTATATTATCTTATACACACATTTAATTTTATGGCTATATGGCAAATATATAATTATTATCCTATACTCATAGAGCGACCATGTCAAATCTAAAATAATTATTGTTAAAAATATCGTGTGTAATTTCCTATAATGCTAAAAATGTTTTACCAATTATTTTTGACAAACACAATATATTTTATTAAATAACGTATTCTCACTTTTCGTCAATAAATATAATACAAAAATTACTAAATAAATAAAAAAATTAAATATATAAATAAATATTTACTTCATTCATACCTTTTCCAAGTAAAATGACAAAAATATATTAACTATAAATTATTTACAAAAAAATACATTCAATTAATTTTAGTCATTCATAGACTAAATATATTAGTTGTTAAAATTATAGTTTAAAACATTTTACTCACTAAATTTAGTGGTAAATCAGAATTTTAGTGTTCATAACGATTTGAGAACAAGAATTTATTTAAATTTTATTATCAAAAATTGATAGCTATTTTGTGTTGTCAAAAGTTATTGGGATATTTAACGCCTTCGATTTTTGTCAAAAAAGTTGTGTTGGGGCAATAGGACCTGGTTTAAAAATCCCCTAATATCGTATATAGTTCGGACTTATTCATGATCTCAAATATACTTGAAAATTTGTATAATCGCTACTATAAAATTTTGGCCTAAGCAATAAACTGACGGGCTGCCGACCACAGTGGTATGGTAATAAGCTAAAAAGTGGAGCAGCCCTTGGCCGCAGTACTAAGCCTTCCTGCGTTAACACCAACGAAATGGCACAGCCCTAGGCCTGTCAGCCCCCTCCTTCACTAGTGGCTTGTGAAACTCCCTGCCAGGTCTCGAGTGAATTGTTGCCCAGCAATGTTCGCAGTAGTACTAAAACATAAAAAAGGGAAATATTTATTGGGCGTCAGAAAATTACATGCATGTCTTTTTCTTCACAAAATAGGGCAATAAAATAACCAAAACTACAAAATTCTATAAATTATTTTAATGTTATTAAGATAAAATAACTATTTTAAAAATAATTAACACAAAGATTTGAATTTATGACTTTTACTAATTGTCGGAATTATTTAAATAGTTTTCAATCCTAGATTTGCATCCCGGATCTTTCTCATGGCAACTCAGTATGCTATACCCTCAGCTCTCTAGAGACACCTAGTTTTAATACTCATAATAGACGAATGTCTTGTGAACTGTTATTATTTTTTATCGATACTTCACAAGAATCACTCATTTTTAATCTGAATAACTAAAAAATATACTGACAATTAGTTTGACACAACTGTCATTTATTTGAAATTAAACAAAATAATAGCCTGGTGACTAAATATGAACTGTGATTGGTGGATTTCATGTCCATGCGGTGTTCTTACTAAGTAGAATGGATATGAAATATATTCGTTCAATACAATTTGTATAAATGGAACGATATTTTCAGAAGTGATGTAGCTCAGTGCTACACTTTCGATGCAAAGGAAAAGACCTAATTTCAAAAACCTTAATTATCGAGATACATTTTTTAATTATTGTTATTTTTTATTGCCCGTCACTGAAGTTAAAGGAATCTTTACTTCAATAATTCTCATTTTAACATTTTTTGCTAGCCTTTTATTGGCAAAGAAGTGATATAGTAGAGTGTGCAACAAGAGTGGATATGATGGCCATATCGCACGAAGACGAAATTTGAGCGCGTTGCCATAGGCGGAGTGCTCAATCGTCTGAGTGCGATGTGGACAATCGAATGTACAGTATATTTTTTCTACGACCCACTAACGAAAATTTACAAATAAAAAATATTTTAGGTTATTAAGACTAAATAACTAATTTATGACTTTTAATAATTTTTAAAATAATATAAACGAAAAAAAAAAAGAAAAAGTTCCTTTTATTTTTCCCCATCCGAGAATCGAACTCCAGGCACCCGCGTGGTAGGCCAGAACGCTAACCACAGGACCACTTAGTCTTTTATTTTTATTGCTTTAATATTGGGCATTCCAAACTGAATGGCTACCAGTGGGTTTTGACAGGTTCTGATATGGCAAAATTATGGCAACCCTGTAGGCCTGGTGAATTGACAAAGTCAATGAAATAGATAGTTACATAGATTGATCATCCATATTTTTCAAAATAAACATAAGCGTATGCCTTGAAGTAAAAATGTAAGCAATTATTATTTTTTAAATATCTAAAGGCTGAAAATTGGTTTTAAAACACATTTTTGCTAAACTGATTCAAATTAATAAATATTTGCCAGGCAATATGGCCGCTCGTAAACGACCCGCTCTGAGCAATCTATATAACTATATATGTATCATTGACCCTGTTAATGACAACATAACAACAGGGTTGCCATATCTAAACTGTCAGTCCCCACTGGTAACCATTTGGACAGGTCGTTGGAATGCCTAATTCGTAATTAAATTGACTTCATATAGTTTTATTTAAATTAACAAATTATTTATAATTATAGACGAAATAAAAACAGAAATGCTATTATTTATCGATTCTACACAAGAATAACCCATTTTAATGTATGTTTAATCTCAATAACTAAAAAATATACTGACAATCAGTTTGACAGAATTTTAAAAATAATAGCAGTCGGTTGATCAAAATATGAACGGTGATTGGTGGATTTCATTTTTTTTTGCAGTGTTCTTACTACCTAGAATGGATATGAAATATATTCGTTCCGTTGAAGGCAATAGCATACTTTTTCGTTTTGTAATCTGTGCGTAGATAAGCTAATATCCATGTGGGTGTAGAAAAAATATAAAAAATAACTACTTGTATTTCAATTTATTGTTGTGGTCGACTTTAGGGACACAAATTTGAGAAAATCCACCTTGTTTTTTGAATGAAATAATACTAATTACAATTTTAGCTTTAGCTCACCTTAGGTGCGAAAATTAAAAAACAAATATAAATTATATTACCAATCGGTATATTTTAAAGCTTAACCTTAAACTGACTATGCCAAGAGTACTTTTATTCTTTGTAACTTTAATAATTATTTTTTTTTAAATACAAATTTCTTATTACCAAAAAATAAAATGAAACGAATGATTTGAGAGTAAATCACCGAAATAAACATTTCCTGCACATGTATTACCAAACCACAAAGTTCCGTTTGTCTTCTAACAGACAATTTAGCACTGATGTAGACGAAAGTCGAAAACTCTTTGATAAGCTAAATTTCATTAAAACTATAACACGAAATACATTGGATTGATTTTTAATTTTATAAATAATTTTTTGAGCTGGTATCAACAGATATTCTTTGATCTGTGGTATAATGGTAGGTACCCATTTACATACACAGTTCGTTTGTAGTCTCCAGACTGTAGGTACGATCTGAACTAACGGTTAAAACTTCTTCGGGCCATACACCATTCAGTTTTCTTAAAGAATTCGGCCTTTAGTTTTTAAACTGACAGTTTTAAAAAGTGCAGGGAAACTGAAGGTACCCATTCACATACAGTTCGCCTGCAGTCCCTGGACTGCTATATGATCTAAACTGACGATTAAAATTTCTTCGAGTCAAAAACAATTCAGTTTTCTCAAATGGTACAGCCATATCATTTTTGAAAACTGCAGGTAAATTGTGATTTGACCACACACACAAGAATTTTGTCAGTTTTGATTCAGAGATCGCTGAATTACCAATGTTTTCAAAAACTTATAGGTACAAGAAGAAAAAAAATATAGCAGCACTTCTTGTGCAAAATTGCAGGCTATGTATGTGAATGGGTACCTTAACTACCTTAAAGTTGATTTAAAATATGTTGTAAAAATGTTCACTGAATTATAAACTTATTACAACGTAAGTTGCGACAAGTTGCTCTAATGTGTGTACGGCTTAATATATTAAAATACTTGGCAACCCTGTACAAATACGTCAAAGTATTTGTTTAAAATGGAGTCATTTTTAAAATTTTAACATTAATTTCTTACTTAAACGTGAATAATTTTCATTTTCATAGTATGTAGCTGCTCTACTTTCAAATAGTACAACAAATATTTTCAAATTCGTGTGTCCATAAAAGTCCTAGGAAACGCGAAAGAAGATATTTAATGCCGGTAATAATAAAATTGTGCCCTGACAATAACAGACACTTTGAGTACTTGTATCGTGATTTAAAAACAGTGAGAACTTGCCGAAATAAATAACATTATTTAGGAAGTCAAAAAATTTGCGTTTTTATTAATTTTGATACTTTTTACCTACAAAGTTCATAACCAAATACCTAACCTACCACAAACTTTTTAAAATCAATTTTACGACAAAAGAAATAACAAAATTATGTAATCTAAATCTATGCTCCAATGTGTAGTTATTTGAATTAATTATACTTGGTTTTATAACTAGATAATCTTTTCATTGTATTTAAATTATTGCAGACTGGTTTTGGTTTGAAATCAAAAATATACGCAATTCATTTTCTTTTTAAAAAATTATAAATTATAAAGCGCCTCCAAAAGCAGTACCTATGTCACGCATTATTATGTTATCAGGAGTATGTTTAGAAACCTCGCACGAAATGTCATATGTAAATGTGGAAACGCTGTTTTTAAAGGCGTCGAGGATTAAAATTCTTAGGAGAATTTTAATTATATCTAAATAAACCGAGAGAAACAGTCAGTGAGTTCACACTGGCCCTAAGAGCCCTAAAAATACTGTTTTATGTTGACGTATGACATTTTTCTTGAGAGAAATTAATTCTCTCGAGTTTGAAAATAGCCCCCCTGGAGTGCGGTAGAATGCTTGTCAATTAGGCATTCCAACGACCTGTCCAAATGGCTACCAGTGGGTAATGACAGTTTAGATATGGCAACCCTGTTGTCAAGTTGTCATTAACAGGGTCAATGATACATATATAGTTATATAGATTGCTCAAAGCTGGTCGTTTATGAGCGGCCATTATTGCCTGGCAAATATTTATTAATTTGAATCGGTTTTGCAAAAATGTGTTTTAAAACCAATTATTAGCCTTTAGATATTTAAAAAAAATAATTGCTTACATTTTTACTTCAAGGCATAAGTTTATGTTTATTTTGAAAAATATGGATGATCAGTCTATGTAACTATCTATTTCATTGACCTTGTCAAATCACCAGGCCTACAGGGTTGCCATAATTTTGCCATATCATAACCCACTGGTAGCCATTCAGTTTGGAATGTCTAATAGGCTTGAGATGCGACTCTATGGGAGCAGACAGGTTATTTTCATCTCACTCGGGAGTATTTATAATAACGATTTTCTATTTCACATTGCTATTGTCTGATCCACCACCTTATGGACTGGACAATAACAATGTGAAACAAAAAATGGTTATTATAAATACTTTTGAATAAGATGAGCAATAAAATGGCTCCATTAGGCATTCCAACGACCTGTCAAAATGCTAACAAGTAGGGACTGACAGTTTAGATATGGCAACCCTGTGGGCCTGTTGTCATTGACAGGGTCAATGATACATATATAGTTATCTTGATTGCACAAAACGGGTGGCCATATTGCCTCGCAAGTGCTCATTAATCAGAATCGGTTTAGTTAAAATGTGTTTACCAACCAATTTTCAGCCTTTGAATATAGTAAAAAAAGAATTATCTACATTTTTACTTCAATGCATAAGCTTAAATGTTTATTTTGAAAAACATGGATGATCAATCTATATAACTATCTATGTCATTGACCCTGTCAAGTTACCATACCTACAGGGTTGCCATAATTTTGCCATATCATAACCTGTCAAAACCCACTGGTAGCCATTTTGTTTGGAATGCCTAATAGAGTCATCGTATCTTGTTCTATTGATACAACATGCACATTGGCCTTCTACCCTACTCCGGTTCATTGTCAGAAACC